CATCCGCCGGTCGAGCATCCGTACCCGCGACGACTTACTGCGTGAGATCACGGAGTATGAGGCCCTGGAGGAGGAACTTCGAACCACCCAACAACCTTGGATCGAGAGCCGATACATACCAGAACAAAACAGGGCGCTGCAACAGTTCCAGGATGAGGAGCCTCCCCAGTTCGACCAACTGCCGCCGTCACCAATGGACACGTCGCTGCCAGCATCTACATCGACCTCGGCGCCTGCCAAGCCATTTAAGCGTCGTCGGCTAAACAAGCCATCCGCACTTACAGGAAAAGCAGGGGCCCAGCAATCGGCACCAAGGCCCTGTTCGGCCGCTCGACGCCCGTCCTCGAGGGTTACTGCCCGACAACGGGGCATGATGACCACGGAACCGACCATTTCGCACCAAACCACCCAAACGGAGAAGCCCTCCAGTGTCGACCAGGCCACTCAAACGGAGAAGCCCTCCAGTGTCGACCAGGCCACTCAAACAGAGAAGCCAGAGAGGCCCCCACAGCCGCCACGCCAGGCACCGCTTCCTGTCACTTCCCGCAGCGAACATAGCGTAGAATTCTTCATCGACCTGTCCCGTCTTACCCGCCGCCGTCCCCTACAATACAGCCTGCCAGATGGACAGCAAATTTCGATCAAGCGGGTAGGAAAACACAAACTGCGGATCAGAACCCGACCCGGCCCCGCAGCAAGCGGACCGCCACTGGTACTCCCTGCTGCAGCCCACGATTCGCAGTCCGAACCGACCACTGCTCAGCCTCCACTGCCGGACACCGCAACCCCCTAGCTTTAAGATAGTTGTAAGCCACCACTGTGTATAGTTTGTAAGATAAAGTTAGGTAAACGTTTTGAGAGCAATTAGTTTCATTAAGACTATGTAAGTTAGGGTTAAGCTTCCGTTACTAAAGATCAGTGTAATTTGTAGTTTTAAGGTAAACATTCCACCGATGTACAACGAAAATAAAAGCTCCCACAACACACAAAAAGGAAAAATAAGTATTGAGAGTTTACGTCTAGTAAAGGGGAGGCGTATTTGTGACGTCTAGGCGCAAATCCGCCATTCCTGACATATTCAGGCCGCACAGCTATCAAACGCCATCGCGAGAGGGCGACAGCTGCGACCACATTTCTCGCAGGTAAAGCGACTCCGTATTAGTATATAGAACCACCCGTTGGGGCCTGAAGTCGGTGAGCATGCGATAAAGTGATAACGTGTACTCGAAGCGACCTGCCGACTGATAATTTTTGTTTCCTTTCATTCTGCGGAGGCAGATCAAGCAAAAGAGTGAATCTGTCACTAGATGAATAGGCGCGTCCGACCGCCAAGTAACACGAGTGCGAATCTGCAGCGTGATCTCAGGACACCGATCTCCTGCCAAGAAAAGGCGATATGCGAATCTACAATCGTTCGACTTCACGATCGGCAACCGATTTCACTTCGACTGTATTTTCCGCCTCTCCGTACTAACTACTTTCTAATAGCGAGCAACTCTACGTGCGATCTGGGTTTCCAAACCCGGCATACGGACAAAACTGCTATTGCTATGATATATCATATTAGTGAACTGGATCGAAACTATTGTTTGTAAATTATGTTATAGTGGAATGAAATAAACTTCAACCTTGATTAACACACGGCATATTCCTTGAATATTAGTAGCTACAACTACAAGTTTACTTCAATTAAATAATTAAGTCATTTATTTTGAAAATGGGAAGAGTTCATTTTTTAAGTTTATTAAACAAATATTTTGTATCTTATAACGTTATATACTGTATGTTTATTATCCAATAGTGCTTGAAATCCGCGCTAAAAAATGGTTTTATTTTATTCAAATAGATTTGTATCACTTTCAAAGTAAATTGCTCATTTAATAGTAAAAACCGTTAAGGAAAATTTTTAGTTTGTCTTACTATTGTATTCACTATTTTAGGTAGCTGATGTGAAGTGTGAGTTTAAAAAATAAACCGATCGTATTTTACATAATTACAGTAAAGCGTAAGAAAATAATTATAATGGAAACTTTAGAAGATAAAAAGAGTGTCATTTGGCAAAATTAAATGATGTTAAATATCGCATGCAATTTCATTTAACTTTAAAAACAGAGGTATTTAAAAGATTCCGAGAATATTTGCACGTTTTTTGAATAAAATTGTATACATTTTAAAAGGAATAAATGATAAAAGCGGTAAAAATTTCCAAAGAATTGTTGATATTTTTTTATATGAACTTTAATACCTTTTTATAACGAATATTTGTAAAAATGCATTCATAGATAAAACATGGTGCAATTTCATTTTGAAAAAGGTAGATGATTTTGAAAGCTTTTAAACAATTCTAGTTTTCGTACTGGAATAAGCAAAACGCAATGATGCATTCACTACTTAATTTTGCTACATAACATTTTATGATTTTCATGTTTTAATGTTACACACATTGACACAACTGTATAAAATATTGTAATATTTATGGTAAAATGCATTAAACAATAAAATTTAATCTACAATAACTTAAATTTATTAAAATTTGTAAACTTATAAATAATCAATATGAATTACAAGAAACACGAATTGGCATCATTATTTCAAGTCGAACGAACTTCAATTCCAATAAAAATTCTCTGAATGAAAATTATTTTTATAAAATGGTAAATAATCAATAAAAATTCTAAAGGTAATTTTGATTGTTACTTGAAGTGGAACGAATTGCAATATCGAGAAAAAGTCATTCGACTGTGAATATCAAAAAAGAAATTAAAATAATAAATATTTTTTGACGGTAAAAATTTTTGCTGTTAATTAAAATCAAATGAATTTCAATGTTTATTAAAAGTCATTCAACTGTGGTCAATTTTATAAAACGAATATTAGTACAATTTATGTGAATTCTGGAACATTATTGTCACCCTGTATGTTAGCAGTCTGTCCTTTTTTTTATCTTTCCTCTCTCTTATGCTCGGCTTCCAATTTAAACTGAATATTGTGAACCGAGAGGCAGATGATTTTGCGAGAAAAGGGCCATGGCAGTCTCATTAAATTATTCCGCGACGTTTCGAGCGATAAGTAATATTAGTCTGATCTTCGTTTCTCGTGACATTAAACAATTTCACCGGTCGATTTTTCGCGACCTTCGGGAAACTCTGCAAATCGTTTTCTCCTTTTTTTCACTCGAATTTCATAGCATTTTACCTTCACTTTCTCGTTGTCCGCGTGGAAAGAGAAATGACTTTTGTTTTATATCCACTCGTGAGGGGTAAGTGTATGAATTCTGTTTTATATCGTGCTTCGTTCGTGTCTGAATTCAATACCAACACTACCACACATATCAAAATTTATTTTCGGTATCTGCGTGATAGTTCCAGCTCGAACTGTGATATTACTTACACCATTCGATACAAAACGAATTTATGTTTCTAATGAAAATGTAACGATGTGCAGAACGAATTTTTTATACACTTTTTATTACATGCTCTATCGTTTCTTCCTCCTTGTGTTAGCATAACTATTTCCTTGGAAAATGGAATTTAAAGAGTGATTTGACAAAAACTGAATTTTGGACCTAGTTTGTTTACTAACAAGTATAACATACTTTTTATCAAGTTAATATTTTCAAATTATTATTTTTCTAATTTAAAAAATTATATACATATACATGTACTTAAACATATTTATGTCTAATAATAAAAATATCGTCTAAAACATCATTTGTAATCACTGGTTTCATTTTCAAATTAGTTTACAATCCTCCCTAAGCGTGAAAATATTCAAATTAATTTATAATCCTCCCGAAGAGTATAAAAAGATGGTGCAATATATTCGAAATTTTAGGCTTGACATTGTCCAACAACCAATTTTGTACGAACTGTTTAAAATTTCCTTACAATTCGAAGATTACAGATCTGCAAAGGCAAATTGACTCTCGTATCCTTTACTTTTATCGTGTGACGTCACAAGTACTATAGTTTGTCCGTCATAAGATGAAGATTGGCAAAATTGAAAAAATGCGACTTGATTCTTTGTTTTATATTTTCCATACATGCAAATAGTTGCTAACAGTAGTTACCTTCATTGATCAGATTACAAAAATAGAAAAGTGGACTTATTTTGTGAATTTCTAGAACTCCTGGGTGGTTGATGTCGAAGGAGCATCTTTGAAGATTCGTGCTTCAAGACATTCCATATAGATATCCGTAATAACTGGAAAGATGGGTAAACCCCTTGTGGCACCATAAGTTTGTTTGTAGTAATCACCTTGGAAAAGGGAATAGATGGAAGTAAGGCGATGTTGTATAAAGGAGATGAAACTAGCAGGAACTCTGTTCTTAAAGATATGGATGGTGTCTGAAATAGGAACATTAGTGAAGAGGGATTGAACATCTAAACTTGCGAGAATGTCATTACGACTGATATGAATTTTCTGAATTTTTTGGATATACTGCATGTAGTCTCTTTGTGTAGTTTAACACATTGACTGCCACACTGAAACAATTGAAAATTGCATCAAGTAGTATTTTAATTTTTAATAAATTTTACCAAATACTTTCACAATATCTTATTACATTTATTTTCCATAGATCCATGTAAGTAATGCAAGAATTTTTTATGAGGAAAGTGAACAAACTTTTAATAATACTCATGTTAGATCAGCTTAACAACTGAAATGTCATATATGGATGGGGCGGCAGTCAACGTGTTAAGTATACCGTTAAAATTTATAAAGATTTTGATAGTCATTTATTTATTTCGAAACATTTTTTGTAAATATGAGGAATTCATAGTAGACATAATGTTAGATTTTAGGACGTTTTATAATATTGAAGATTTGCCATAGCAGCAATAAAAGACCAAGGAACCATTACTTGTCCGTTTCACCAGTTGGTAGGCACATTGAACCCAGGGTTGGCGTAGTTGTATTTCTTTTTTTGCGGTATATGTAGTTTGAAAAGTCGAAGCAATCCTTGGGTTTATTACTGTTACGGTAATTTGTAAGTCGAGGGCCGGATGGGTCACCGGTCAACGGTTTTGGGACGGATGACCGCTGCAGGAGAAAGTGGGAATTCCCGATTTTTGGAAACGTCATCCGCTTTTCCACTCCGTGTTTTTCTCCCTTGCCAGAGTCCTGGGAAGACATATATACTCTGTACAGGAAAATGCGCGAAAGTCTATCCTAAGAAATTGAATTAAATATTAAACACCCTCTGTATCCGTTATTTGTTTAATTGTTGTTCGGCCTCTGATTTATTTTTTTCTATTTCCCCACCTTTAACCCGGAATAGTCTACAATAAAATAAATTAAACGATAAATAAAATGTTGGAACGTGCATTTGTAATCTGCGCCTCTGATTACACTAGTGACATCTGTAACTGTGGACCTGTAGGCTCGAACTGTCAGATACAGTGTAGAACAAAAGTATTCGTACACTTGAAATATAGAAATAAAAAGATGAATGTTTTCTATACTATTAAGTATATTTAATCATATATAGCTGTATATTAAATATTACATTTACTGTAACAAATGATCCAAAACCGAAGGCAATAACATCATGTAGTGACTTGAAATTCATGATTGAGGATCGTCGAAGGCAATTAGCTTGTTATTATTTTACTTTTTACGATTTATGATAGGTATGGACTGTGTAAGGTCTGAACAAGAGGATGATGGTAATCATTTGAGGTAACAGACAATGGTCACTGACTTGAAGTGATATGACAATTAGATGTCACAGGACTATTTGTTCGAATTGTTTATATCTAATAAACATTGCAACAAATAACAAATTCCGA